TCTTTCTGAGCTCAAGACTTCCGACTCAGACAATCCTGGGGCTGGGACACATTCCACATATGGAGGTTTCATTGATTAAGAATCCTAAATGCTTCATAAAAGCGTCGATCTCGCGGAAAATAAGCCGAGTAATTAACTGTCTATCGGCTTCAGCGGAAACTTCGAAAGAATTCAAAGTAGTCCCATCGAGTGACTGGCTCCCAATCGAATGAACGTCACGTACAGCATCGTGGGATTGGATAAATGGAGACCTTGATATTGGAGTACTGGCCCTATCTTCAGTCATCGACATGAGAAGGTCGCCTCTGTCGATCAATGCGAACATGGAGCCACCCCAGTGGCTTGGAGGCGCCGGTTGGCATTGAGCAATCGCTTCGTGAAGGGAAGCACTGATTCCGTCAGGGAGGGTATCAATTACGGAACTTGTTAAGCCCCAACGAAACAACAGTTCCACTCGTTCCTCAATAGTAGTTTGTGGTTTTAGCTCGGAAATGAAACCACTTAATGCCAAAGTCCTTGGTGTGAGCCTCATAGCTCGCTGCATGGCAGAATCTCGCCTGGCTGGTGACGCAGAGCTTGGTACTATGTCGAGAATCGTCAAGAATTTAACTTGTTCATGGTTCAGAGATTTTTCAATAAATGAGAGTATCGAAGGTGGGGGGAAAGGCTCTTCAGGTAAGTCCAAAGTTGAAATTCTGGATTCTTCAAACAGCCACCGATCTATACTCGCCATCTCGACGCCGTAATAGCCATGATCTTTCCAGTTCCAGGATTCCCACCCCAGCCATCCACCAATTTGTGCTAAGACTGGGGCAAGAAGGCCAGCTTTCGAATAAGAACTCTCTGCATTGATGGTAGACAACTTCTGCTCCTCACGAAATAAATGTAGTCCCACCAATATCGTGCCAAGAGCAGTTCGTCTCGTGTCAGAGTCGCAAGACACTGCAGTTGGCAAGTAGCCTTCCGCACCCATTGCAGCCTCACCTTGGGGAGAAGCAAGAAACTCTCGGGATAACGCCACACACCGAAGAATATAGGGATTTTTTCGGGAATTGGCTGCCGTCTCAGGACCGGGTCGATGATCTGCCCAGGATACTTCTTCCATAGTCTTCAAATCGCCTTCCGAAATCCAACCCCAAGAAGAGCCCGTCATCCAAGCTGAGGCAACACCACGCGATCCAGTTTCTTGGTCCAGCATACTATCCCAGTTGTCAAGGTCAACTGAGCTGCCGCTACTAGATCGAAGAAACTCGGCTTTTCTTCGCTTTGGTCTAGCCGGAGCTTTCGAGCGGTTGCCCTCAATAAAATAAACCCCCATTGTAAAGAGGGACAATCACCATTGCAGTCCACTCTAAATCGCTATCATTGTCCCCTTCCCTCCTCGTTTGAAGCCACTTCAACACTTCCCACCAACCAACAAGAATTCCATCCCCGGCCTTATCCCCCTGTCGCAAAACCAACCTGCAGACGTCAAGGATCTGCTTAACACGAAGATTATGCGGCTCAAGTTGTATCTGAA